AGAGTGGGGCATTCATTTAGATGGGATGCTCAGGGCATGCATGTGAGCAGAAATCTGAAAGAAATGACGGAGAACAGCCTGCAGATACCTGGGGCACAGAAGATCCTGGCAGAAAGAAGTGAAGGCCCTGAAGGGGCACATGTTTGATCTGCTCATGGAACGGCACAGAAACCAGTAGCTGGTGTGTAGTAACAGAGATGAGGAGTGTGGGAATCTGGCCTACAGGCCATAGGAAGTGGGTAATAGGGCCACAGAGATCACAGGAAGGACTTGGGACTTTGCTCCTAGTATGCTAAGGAGCCACCGGGGAACTTTGAGCAAGTGAATGAGATGATTCTATGCTTCAGAAGGACCACTCTGGCTGCCTTTGTGGAAAACAAATGGCAGGGAGCAGGCAAGAGTGGAAGCTAGGAGACCAGTTGAGGAGAGATTTCCCCAGAGCAGTGGGGAATGTCTTATAAAAATAAAATATGAGCCCTATATGTAATTTTTTTTTTTAATTTAGAAGATGGTGCCCCTTTATTTTAAAAAATTTTAAATGAATTTAAGCAAAAAAATAACATACATTTGTACATCAACTGGCCATTAGGTATACTGAAAAAAAGTGAAGGGCCAAATGGTGGTATGACAGTAAAAATGATGCTCTATGGGGCATACCCACATGGGAAAGTTACCGATCCACATCCAGGTACCTCCCTGAGTGGACCAGGCATGTGTGCCCATGATCTAGGCTGGCTGAGTCTGGGGTGGACCATGGCAACAAAAGCTGTGGTGGTTCCATTTCCCTATCCCTTTCTTTCTGTCTCATTCACTACAGAATACACAAATTGAAACAAATAAAATACATGGGAAGTTCATTTTAATAATATATTTATGAATCTGGGACCATAAGTTGGCATAATGGCTATGTCGCTGGACTGTCATGTAGTCGACTGTGGTTTGAGTCCTGGACCCGGTGGCTTAAACTCACACCAGGCACGTGTGCGTGCGTGCCCAAGATCCCGAGAGAATGGAGGAGAAGGGATTGTGATGTGGCCATCCCCCCGGGGGGGGGATTTCTTGCTTTCTGTCTCTCTGTCGCTCTCTGTCTGTCTGGCAAACGCACGTGCCCTATAGCAAACACCTCTCCAAAAAAAAAAAAAAAGAAAGAAAAAATATATTTATGAACCTAATAGACCCAAACTATTATTGCCCTTACAATAAAAAAAATTATTATCATTATCAAGGTATTTTACATTTTGTTCTTTTGTTTTAAGCCTTTGAAATCCAATGCATATTCTACACTTGTAGTATGTCTCACTCTTAAGGCCACTTTTCATGTGTTCTGTTGTCACAGGCAGCTCATGATGATCAGGTAAGGCACCACAGCTTTCCTTGAGAGATGAAGCTGGACAGGACCAGGGCAGTGGTAATGAGAGCGATAGGGCAGTCAGATTCTGAATACATTCTCAAGGTGGAAAATGAGCAATCAAGGATTACTCCAAAGCTTTTCCCTAAGATATTGGACTAGATGCTGGGGATACAGAAATGAAAGACCAAATCCTTACCTTAATATGATCGACTCTAGTGGGTAAAACCCTGTGTTGGCGAATGTCCCATGTCATGCAATATCCATAATTTCTTGTCGGAGAATAGAAGAGTAGTACAGTTTGGGGGAGGAGGGAGGTGGAGTCAGGTTTCTTGAAGGAGTGGATACTTGGCCTTGAAATTCGGGATAGAACTTCGTAAAAAGGAAAATAATACAGGGTTTGCATGCCTTTTTTTTTTTCTTCCACTTTTGTGTCTGTCAAATGTTTTTTAAAAATAATGATCTAATTAATTATTTTTATCGTTTACTTATTTTTACATTTTCCCACATTTACTTTACATATCCAAAATTTTTTGCTTATACCCTAATTCTTGACAGTTAATAAACAACTTTCAAATTTTCAGAAAACTGAACTTTAAAGATAATGTTCAAAATATTTGTTATAATTTTGTTTATCACTCTCTAACAAAAGAGACAGTATAGTGTTAGGTATTTTTTGAGAAAATATTTACATGTCAACTACTCAAACTGTTGAAAAGCAAATGCCCAGCACATAAATCACACATAATCCTTTCTCAACTCAGCCCTGCCTATCAAGTATTCTGTGCTATACCATCAGCTAGCAAAGATCAGTCTCTTTTTCTTCCTTCAAAGTCTCCCTCAAGATAATCCTCTGGTTGTGGTTACTCTCTTGCAATCTCTACTTATTACAATGCTGGACTGGAAAAGTCCAGGTTATTGTATGGTACTAATTCTTTCACATAGCTTCTTTAATCCTCTTTGCTAGGCAGAAATGTTTATGGTGGCAGGCTATTTTTCTAAGAGTTTCTGTTGGCTTACTTGAGATCTACCTTAGTTTCATAGTTTTCTGGCTAATCTTCAGATATGACATTCCAGTCAAAGCCCTGGAAATAATGAATATTTCCATTTTTTGATTCAAGGCAACAGGTGTTATTAAACTTATGCAAATAACCTTTCTGCTACAAAATAAGAATATTCTATTTTCCAATTCCAGTAGGGTCAGGAAGGAAGAAAAGTTTATGTTTCCATTTAAAGAAACAAACAAGAAGGAAAAATATTTTTAACAAACTGATGAACCTATCAACAGTTCAAAAGAAGGCAAAATCCTTAAATTGGGAAAACAAAGCATAGTAAAAAAAAAAAGAAAGTACTGTTTTACTTAAAAGTCATAAAATTCTATTTCACCAGTTCAGTCTTATGTTCAATCTCTCTTCTGTTGAATTTGTAGTGTTACCGTGGTCTGATTTAAATCCTGGAAGTAAACGTTCAAGGTTATTATTGATATTTCTTGTCCCTAGCATTAAGTTGGTATTTTCTTGGTTGCTTTTTGTTCTCTTATTTCTGTACGTGTCTTAGTTTTCCTGGTCGAGCACTCTTTTCAGAACTTCTTGAAGAGTGGGTCTGGAATTGGCAAATTCTTTCAGTTCTTGTTTATCTGAGAATGCTTTTATCTCTTCTTTCCATGGGAAGGATAATCTCGACAGGTATAGTGTTCTTGGTTGAAACTATTTTTCACTTAACACTTTGAAAATATTTTCCCATTCTTTGCTTGCTCACATTATAGCTGATGAGAGGTCTGATGTTAGCCTGATGAGGTAACCTTTATAAGTAATCTGATGTTTCTCTCTTGGCAATTTTAGTATCTTGTCTTGGTGGATTTTGCCAGTCTGGCTATGACGTGCCTTGGAAAAGATCTTCTTGGGTTTGTTCTTTTATTTATTTATTTATTTATTTATTTTTAAAATTATTATTCATACATTAAATTGCTATACATGATTCTATTAGGGGCTCTTTGTATTTCTTAGGTCTATATATTAGAAAGCCTCTCTTGATTTGGAAAGTTTTCTTCCAGGATTTCATGGAACAGATTATCAATGCCCTTATGAGTTTCTTCACTTTCTGGGATACCAATTATTCGGATACTAGATACACTCAATGGTATCTAGTATTTCTCATATAGTATTCTCATTTTTTGGTGTTATTTTTTCAGTTTTTTTGGTTGTTTTTTTCCTAGGTCAGAGGTTTTGCCTTTAACATCCAAGATTCGATATTTTGCATGGACTGATCAGCTTTTAATACTTTTGAGGGAGGTTTTGATTTCCTCTATTGGAACTTTCATCTCTAACAGCTCCATTTGATTCTTTTCCTCTTTCAGATTGTGCAAGAACTCTCTCATCTCCTGGAACTCATTGTCTATTTTCTTCTGCCTGCACCTTGATCTTGAACTTCCCAGCCTCCAGAACTATGAGAAGTAAATTTTTATTGTTTATGATTTGCCCATTCCGTCACAATTTGTGATAGCAGCAAAGATAGTACTAAGACAGTGCTTGGTACATATTTCTTTTCTTTATAAGTTTATTTATTTACTTTTCTATTGGCATAGGGTTCATGTGCTTACATATATATATATATATATATATATATA